TGATGAAAACAAAGTAAAACAAGTGGAGTCTGCCTATCATTTTTGTTTGGTATTTTTGTTCAGTATAGGGTTGTGGCAGCCTGGTGATTAGGGCATCGGGCTTGGAATCCTGAGGTCGTGAGTTTAAAACCCACTCCCACAGACTGCCACTCTGGGTGTCTGAGCCAGACCCTAAATCCTGGGCGCCGCAAAGTGGCAGCCCACTGCTCCCCATGGGGATGGGTTAAATGCAGAGAGTTAATTTCTCCATTCTGAGATCAATAAAGTTAGATTTATTAGTTTTTCTTTTTGTTTCCAGTTGCTCAAGTTTAAATATGATTACATTGGGAAACATTTAAATCTAGAGTTGTCATTTTTTCTTAAAATAAGTGCATTTGTTTTTGTATTGTGGAGGTAAAAGAGACATTTTGCCTCTGGAACAATAGAATTTACATTTAAAATAAGAAAACACAATTGCATTGTCTTATTTCTTATCTAATATCTTATTTTAAGAATAAAAATACTAATTCCATTGGCAAACTACCTAATTTACCTACTCAAATTAAAGATAAACACACTTAATTTAAGAAATTTGTACTTATTTCTTTATAATTTTTCCAGTGTATAAGGGAGTTACTCAGAGGAGCTCCAGTTTTATAAATACAGATTTATAATATGATTTTATTTGGTATTTATATTGTTTCCTTACTCGCTTCCAGGCAACATTTCTGTTGTTTTTCATTTGAATTGGAAAGAATATCACGCAAAAGAATTAAAAACTCAAGTTAAAAAGATTTAAAAAGAACACTTTTGATAATGAGTTTTTGGGCAGGGATCAATAGTTTTGACTGAGAGGGGTACTCATGGTACGACAAAAGTCCGAAAGGGGTACACAAGTCAAATAATGTTGGGAAACCCTGATCAACAAGATGTACCACAGAGGACCCACCTCCTGAACCTAAAGGGTCCAGATACTGGAGCAGACGTTCAACCACAGTAAGGAGACTGATCAGTAATAAAATTAGCAGGAGAAATTACACCTACATAATTTGTGGCATATACTCATAATATAATTGATTTGTGCAGGAAGCATGTAAATGATTTACTGAGGTAGTAGTTTGTGTTAAAAGTCAGTAGTATTTAACAGCTGAGACAATCAGATATAAATCCATGATGACTTTGACCTTTCCTTTTCCTTTTCTCTAGATCTAACCCGTGCTTTGCTGCCCCCTGCAGGCAGCAGGAAGTCTGTGCACAATCAACCTGTTCAGCATCCAGCAGAATAAAGTCAAGTTTATGAATATGACATAAAGTACAGGAAGTTTGATCTCACAACCACATAGAGTATCAAACCCAATATAGATGTAGATATAGACACGAATATGTATTCATGACTGCGTTTCGCTTCCCATCTAGGAAGCTTTTTTAATCAAAATATCAGGAATAGATTTGAGTTTGAGGTTTTATACAGTAGCCCAACAAAGCCTTGTTTTTTTTTTATTTTTGAAAACATACAAATTGGAACTTTTGAAGGGGTCCATCCCTTTGGGATAGGGGTCGTTTGGCTTCTTTTAATGGCCTGCAAAGCACCACACCTGTTGCAGGTTAACAGAAGCAGCCAATTCCAAAGGGATGGACCCCTTCATAGGTTCTAATTAGTATGTTTTTAGGACAAAAACAAGGCTTTGTTGGGTGACTGTATAAAACCTCAAACTCAATGCTATTCCTGACATTTTGAATTAAAAAAAAACCTTCCTAGATGGGAAGCGAAACGTCTTTTTTATTTTTATTTTACTTAAATAACTGAATTTTAATTGTTAAAAGAACATCACACTATGGTAGAAAGAATGGCATAGAAGTTAAAGAGGAGATGGGAAATAAGGTGGAATATGACTGAATAAAAAACCCCTGATATCAACAAAGAAACAGGAAGGATTTGATGAGGAAATTAATGAGGAAATAGCTTTTTGACTGTATGATCTGGTGAACTGTAAAGTCCCTTGGGATGACATGTGTTGTGAATTGGTGCTATAGAAATAACCTGAATTGAATTGAATTACGTGTGAGAAAATGTTGATGAAATAATCAAAATCATCACTTAATTGATTTCCCTCATCAAACATTTCTGCAATGAGGATAAAATTTGATTAAAGAGATTGTTTTTAGATAATCTACCTGGGTTTTTCAAAAATAAAAAGTCTCATATAGTTTTTACTTCCTGCTTCTTATCTTTCAAATACAGAACAGGATTAGGGCCACTGGAAAAAAAAAAAGTTAAATGATTTTTAAAATATTTTTTTAGTTTAATATAAGAAAAAAGAATCTCAGAATTCTGACCTTAATCTCAGAATTCAGATTTTTTTTCTCAGAATTCTGACTTTAATCTCAGAATTCTGATCTTAATCTCAGAATTCTGACTTTTTTTCTCAGAATTCTGTCTCAATTCTGACAGCTAACAAACATGTTATCATCAAACTGTAGCTGTGTCTGTTTTAGAGACTAGCTCCCTTGTTTTAATGACCTTCTGTTCTTCCATTAATAAAAATAGCATCACCGGGGACCCATCGGGCGTAAAAAGTCGCCTAATTCTGTCATTTTCCACCAATGTGTCACTGGCCCTCCCAAACAACTCACATCTTTGTCAGTGAGGCTGAGAGCTCCACATCTCTTCCTTCATGGTGCCCATCTACATTAAGATCCAACATTCTGAGATTAAAGTCAGAATTCTGGAGAAAAAAAAGTCAGAATTCTGAGATTAAAGTAAGTATCTTTACTTTTTTCTCATATAATACTGAAATAAAATTTAAATGATCAGTAAACTTTTTGTTTTTTCAGTGGCCCTAATCCTCTCCCGTATTTAAACGTTCCTAACATCATTATAACATTAAAATATTGTAAATCTAGCGACCAGGTGAGGACTGCTAACTGCGCGGTATCTTATTTTGAAGGGTCGTACCGGAAGCGGCGCCCTCACCTGTCCCACTCTGACTCAGGTCTCCCTGTCAGAGGACATCCTGATGGGAATGATGGAGTCCGTGTCGCGGATCACGTCCTGAACAGACCCTCCGATCACCTCTGATCCTCACCTTGAACGTGTTGCACCGCGTGACAGCGGAGCTGTGCGCGCGCTCAGACCCAGCCTGATGTTTGTGTATCAGAAGAGGATGATGATGATGAAGGGGGAACTAGGTGTAGAGTCTGAATAGACTGAGCATCGTTTCCTCGTTAGAGGGCGATTATTTACCAGATATTCCAGGAGAAAGAAAAGGTAAATATAGAAAAAGGAGGCGGGAGGAAAAAGCCATTTTCTGTGTGACCTTATTTATTATTGATGCTTCAGGCCAAGCAGGCTGATGGAGAACATGAAACCTGTTCCTTCATTTATAAATATGACATTTGATTCAGTTTAAATAAATATTATTAGTTGTTTATGTTCTAGATCAGTCCAAATCCACTGGATTCTAAAATCAAGAGTAAACATTTGCAGAGAAATATCTAAATAATAATCTAGCTCTGTAAAATGAACTGATTGGTGGGAAATAATTGATGAGGACCTGCTTATATAATGATGATAATAACTGTAGCTGGAGTCTTGATCTTAATCCAGGACATTTCCTGGATATCATTAACAGGAATCTGTTTTTAACACTAATTTAATCTAGATTACAGACCTTGTGGTTACTTCTTCTATTGATAATAAAAATTATCCTTATGATCAATAATCTAATATTCAGTAGTTAAGCCAAAATAAAAAATATACAATCTACACTACCTTATTACATGGATCTTTAAGGATAAGGTAAAGTAAGACATGTTTAGATGAACTAAATCTAGATGATCTACTCTATGCCCTCTAGGTCTTCATCTGTGTGTTTCTCTGTTCGCAGCATCATGTTGGCCAGGAAGGGCCTCCTCCCAGATGGGTTTCTGCTGACCCGGCTGGCCGAGGACCAGAACCAGCCCAACCGCATCCGCTCCAGGTCCCAGAGAGCTCGCTTCATCACCAAAACCGGATCATGCAATGTGGTTCACAAGAACATCATGGAGCAGGTAGACATGCACACCTAAACAGTCTTGGACTGGTAATCTGTGATTGGCCGCTCCAAATTTCAGCGTGTGAGGGCCGCCTTAAATCATACCGGCCCCCACACTTACTCTCCGGCCGAAGCTCCTACTTCTGTGACATTAAATAACTTACGGAGCTCAAGAAGTACCGTAATAATGTTAACTTCCTAAATGATGCATGCAGTATATACAGCCCTTTCTTGTCATGCACTTCCTTGTGACGGTTGGCATATAGTGTCATTTTCGATTTCTCCAAACTGTAAAATCCTTGCAACAAACTAAATTATAATTAAACTAAAATTCTTTCTTGAAACCAAACTACGATGTTCCTCTTATATTTGGTGAATTTATGTTCGAATATTTAGCAAAAACATGTTGCAGTGCATGATGGGGTTTTGCATCTAAAGGCTAACGTTTCCCGTCTTACGTGCATTGTTGCCAGGTTGGGATGTTTCCCAATCTGGCAGCTTTAGATGGCTGTCTATGGGTAAAAAATGTTTTCTTTTAGATTTATGGCCTAAGAGATCAAGATACTTTGGTTGAAATTGAGATTTCGTATATCCAGGCGGTTTATGAAAATATTTTTGGGCTGGAAATGTGAGTCAGTGACATCTGGCAGCCCTGCTGATGTGGTGAGTGGGGACGTTACGCAGCAGCAGTCAGTGTCGCGTCCGTTGTAAGAATTAAAGCCAGTAAAGCCGCATTATTGCCAGTGTAGATGGAGAAACGCCAGGGCCGAAAATCGTTCCCAGTGCGAGCCTTGGTAGACGTGCCCACCTAGACTTCCTCTGTTGAAGTTTCACTGCTGATTCATTTTCTCTGGACCTTCCTGAGATCCATGATAAACGGTTTTCCAGGCTCTTCTCCCTGGAAGCTTGTTCTCA